TTGACCACCACTCTCTGGGATCGTCCATCCAGCCAGTACTTGATCCAGCAGACTGTTCGCTCATCCAGGCCATGGACAGCTGGATTTTGTATGAGAATTCTATGAGGAACTGTGTCAAAAGCTTTTCAAAAATCCAGGTAGACAATATCCACAGCCTTTCCCTTGTCCAACAGTCAGGTCATTTTGTCATACACAGAGATCAGGTTTGATTTATTAGGTCATTAGGTCAAATAGGTCATTAAGACTGTTTAAACTATTTTATTCCATTTTACATAATTTTGTTATCACTTTTAAGACTTGTGGGCTACATCTAGATTAATATATCAAGCTCAACTCAACTGTTCTCTGAATGTGATTCTTTCTGTCTGTGATCCTCATCCATTACTTCCTCAAGATCAAAATGGGCCATCTGTATCCTGGTTGATATTGGAAGTGGTACCTGGCCCTTTTTAACTTCTGAACAGAGCCAGTAAATTGTTTGATCTGGCACAGATCAAAACTGTCAAAGGTTGTTAAAAAAAAAATGCTGCAGGATGCGTATGTCTGAATTCCAGAGTCCAGTAACATTCCAGGTACCATTTAATTTACTGTGTATATAAAACCATCATGTCATGATGTGTTCCTTAGAAAGATTGCCTATTTGGGCACTCGTATTTCAATTCATTCTTTCCCCCAAATGAGCATTTACATTGTTCAAAACTGTTACATAATCTTACATCTTGATCCTCAGCTCTTCCTTCTTAATAAAAAGCAGTTTACTCATAGTATTTCATGCGTATGTACTAAGGGGAGAAATCCTCACAATAGTGACAGCCTAATTTCTGAAGAGTAAGGACTGATAATAAGAGAGAGGCTCATCTTTAACTTCAAGCAACTTACGCATCACAACTGGAAGCCTGGACAGAATGGTGGGACTCCCATGAAGATTTCAGCCCTCTAAAAACATATTTGGAAGTCTTATGTCATTCTTCTGATCCATGTCTTTTTCCAAGCTTCATGAAACATTTGATTTGTATTTATTTTTTATAGGAAATGACTCTGCAAAGAGAACACTCTATTTCAATTATCACTACTATCATAAGGAAAAGATGTCACTGCTGGGCAGAATGAAATTTATCTGAAGACATTTTGTTGTGCTGTTTGAGACACACTTTTGAAACAAAGTGTTGGTGCTGTTGGGTTGTAGGATTCCCAGAAGATAACTGGTATATGGATATAAGGAAGTGCACAGTCATAGGCATGGTGTTTCCACATACTGCTTCCTGTGGTGGCATTTTTCCTCCCCACATCCAGTTGGAATATTCAGCCTTCTACAATGCTTTTAGTTGTTTAATAATAATAATAATAATAATAATAATAATAATAATAATAATAATAATAATAATAATAATAATAATAATAATAATAATAATTTTATAATAATTTTAGAAGTATTTTCTTTTATCCCATGTTCTTTGGATTTAGAAAGATAAATATAGAGACTTTATCTATGTCAATTAAGGTCACTGCAGACAAATTGAACTGGACAGACAGGGAAGAAAGAAAATCTACATGATTTGCTGCTATCACAAGAAATCAATTTATCCTCAATGCTCGGACATGACATTTTTGACACACGTAGAAAGGCACTTCCTAGACTGAGAAAAGCAAGGTAATTAAAGTTTGTCTTGTATTACTTATCATGTAATATAAAACCTAAAATATTCATAAACCAAGTCAGAATTAATTTCTTCATGACATAAGTGATTTATTAAACACTGATAACAGAAGTTTCACAGAGCTTGAGGATTGTAGCTTATTTTCAGTGAAGTATTCATGTTACCATCTAGTGTCTTAAACCTTCTTCTCATGTTTGCAGCACATTTTCAGGCAGTGGAGGAAGCTACTCGTGCCTTGACACTTTTTCTCTTGGTGAGCACTTTCCCATGAGCTTAAAGTCAAAACATTTCACTAATTTGGATTCTATTGTCTGTATTTTGCTGTCAGATAGCTGTTTACAATGTCATATATGAAGGAGGTAGCTGTAGCACAACTGCATGGACAGATTAGACATAGAAATGTATGCACATTTTTGTGTTTGCAATCACAGCTTTTGGAGCGATCAAACCCTAGTAAAAAAAAAAAAAAAAAACACCAAACAAACAAACAAAGTATAAACCCACCACACCCACACAAACAAACAAACAAAAAAAACAACACAAACAAAAACAAAAAAAAACCACAAACAAAATCAAGTCAAATGAATTCAACTTATATCATAGTAGAAAAATAAAGTCTACATTTGAAATGAGAAGCAAATAAATATGCAGACATTAAAATTCAGTGCTCTTTGTGAATGTATTTTTAAAACAGTGAGATGATGTCAAATAATAATAGTGGTAATCTGGATAATGACTTCTCATGATTCATGGACTAATCTGATTGTCCACTGGGATCATTATAAACATCCTACCTTCCTCTCATTTACATCATGGATATGTGTCCAACTGGCTACTGCAGGAGTCAAGATAGTAGACACCATTAATCCTAATGGTCTGATCTGCTGAGGTCAGTTCTTCGTTTCTATTTATGATTTCTCTGTACTGCAGAAAACCACTTGTGCTTATAACTTACATAGGAGAGAAAAAAGGAAGAGAAAAGAAATTTGACTTAGGATATCCCCTTTAACATATTTCATCAAAAGAATGGATAAAATATTTATTCAGCTACTGTCATTTGCATTCCCATCAAAGCGAATAGAGAGAATTTAATAACACATGGAAACTTTAAAGAAGCTTTTTATCAGAGTGGATGGAAACCTGCTCAGAACAAACATGCTGGCCTAAGGGAAAGTTTTTGATCTACGAAGCTTAAGCTTTTGGTGCTTAAAACACTCTCACATTGGATCATGTGGTTGATTTGCATGAAATAAATGATTTGCTTAAAACTTGTAAAAATATAAAATAGAACTTGACAAGTCATTAGCAATAAGTGGTATTGCACTGGCATTATACTAACACTGGTGCAATCATTAGAAAACTGCTTCTACAGCAAAGAACATGAAGATAATGGGGCCAGCCTATACCTTGACCTAGAGGTGTTAGATCGTTGCTCCACACAGTAGCTACCACACTGCAGTCCAAATTATTGACTCTCATTCTTCATTACCGATCTACTCAGCATTCTGAGTCACTGCCCTTTATCATCTTTCACACAAAGCAATTAGTCCAAGTCATAAAATTTATCACTTTTTCCATCTAGGGATACATGATCTAGTTTAGGCAAAAACAATGAAAAAAAATAAAAAGAAAAAAAACTAAACTTTAGCCTAAGACTTTAATCAAAACTATCAGGAAGAATAAAATTATTTACCTTTTCTCTATTAATTTTTATACTGGTTTTGTTTTCATTCCAAACTAGGAATTCAATTAATGAAGTTCCTGTATGTTGACATAAGTTATGGATATAACTTTTCTATTCTCATTGGCAACAAATAGTGTTCAGCATCTCATTAGTTCAGTTTGCAATTTCAGGAGGATTTTTTTTAAGACACAAAGTGTTTAGAAAATCACAGCTAGACATCTGGATTCCTGAAGTTTGCCTACCATTCATTTTAAGGCTAGAGTCATTCTGTGATGAGACTGGTAAATATCCGCTTGTGATTATTGCCAAGACAAGAAATACACATAAAACCTGAATTTTTACCATTTGTTGCACAGCGCCTTCAATGCCCTGATTTTTTCAATGTGTCGACATTTTGTCAGTGGCTCAGGCATGTGGGTCAAGTCTGAGCAACTCCATACATGATATTTTATACAAATTACTGGATGAACTAAAGTATATGTTTACAAATTATTTGCCCACAATCATACATATGCTGATGAGATGCAGTAACATTAAAAACATGTTACTCGAATCCCACTGCTGTCTTCAAGATGATGTTTTTCTCATGCATTCCCCATGAGTATACACACCTTTGTAAAATGAGAGGGGTAAGTATGATACTGCAGTTCCCAAGGCTCATTAAAATCTTAATTTCTCTTCTGAGTCTATCACCAAGCATGAGGCATGGCTTTGAGTTTCTGATGTGGAGGTGGAGCTGAGATTTAACAGCCTGATTGCATGTGGACTCTGGTGCAGTGAATTTATGCTGATACATGTGACTGAATTGATATTATATTTAACTACTTAATTTTATTTCCCAGGTCACAACAAGTTGTGCTTTCCAAATAACAGTGACATGATAGCTAGTGAGCACAAACATCAGAGAAATAATTGAAAAGGAATTCAGGAGACTGCAAATAGGTGTTATAAACCAGAAAAGAAGCATTAGTAATATAAGAGTGCAATAGATCTGTTTGTGAATCTTCGGGGAAATGAAGCGGAAAATATTTTAGATAAAGCAGGGTATTTGCACACAGGCTAAAACAGGACAGAAAGTCCCAGTTCAATACTACGAGAGAGTATAGTTAACACTGAGAGAGCAGAGGTGTTTCAGTCAGCAGCTGGAATCAGAACCTCGTCAGTGTTTACGATGCGTGACCTGGTTGGTACAGGCTAATTAAGAATAATCCTTAAGGATGAGAAACATAATAATTTTTACTGGTGTTTCAAGAAGTTCATAATAAGTGGACTTGAGGGAACAACTGAAGATCATTTGTTTGACAGAAGAAAATAAGCTTTTACTGTAGAAGAGGCATCATGAATATGTAACCTTATTATCACAGTATTATTCTTCAGGTTTTTTAGTCTAATGAAGAAAAATAGAACTGCAAGCATTTCAGCATATACTTGAGTCACTTGGACCTCACTGATTTAAAACGTGTCTCTCAAAAATAAATTACTTTATTTGTTGAAAAATACATTTCCTTCCTATGGTGTCTGGAAGATAATAGCTTTCATGCACAGTGTAATATTTTTAACATGAACAATTCTGAAGGGAGCTCAACCTCCCAGTGAATCTGCTCAGCCTGTTAGTGAATACATTTTCTATGCTTCTTAACCTGTATGCTCGTGTGCAGGACATAAGGAACTGGTACCACCTCCTCTTCTTCTAGAACATAGTCCAAGAAAGAAACCATTAGCTATTGAAGGTAAGTTTGTTTTTTTCCTTCTTAATTGGCTTCTACTCATTAACTTAACCCTGTGTTCTGATGGATTTTGTTCATAAATATGACCTATATTACAAAACTTATCAAACACTTAGGCCTGGGAAGTGAATGGCACAACCATATTTGCATGACAAGACCTAAATATTCCTTATAGTAGTGCCACAGATAGCTCAGATGTTTTCCTGAGTGGAATAGATTACAGGATCAAGGCTTAATTTGCAAAATGCTTTGGATGGTATTCAGCCATAAATTGTCATGTAACTTTAAACATAATTGACATTATCCTCTTAATATACTTTGGATTATTCTTTCAGCTATTGTTACTCACTAATATTTCTGTATTATCTTCAATAATGAACATAATATTTCCGGCTCTGCATTTATGAACCCCATCCCTATTGTTAAAATCACTGAAAGAAAAACACCAAAATCAGATCTTACCATCAGAAGATTAAAACATAACCATTGAAACTGAATTATATTGTTTACAGTCTAATCGTATCAGCAAAATGGTTAAAATATGCATTTTAATTTTAATATGGACTATGACCGATGACTTAATACTACTACTGCAATATATGGTCTTGGTCTCTACACTATACAGTTTAATAGTACAAAACACGAGTCTTTTCATGTGATTATATAGCAGTATTCATATAATAATTTAGAGTCATTCAGTCACACCATGGCACTCGATAATGTCTCTCATAGAGGTCTTAATTCTATGTTATCCAGAAAGCAATTGCAATCTAAGGGAAAAACAGATGGGATAGCACCAGAATAAGGAACAAAAGCTACAATATTTGCTTGCATTTGGAAACTGAAAATGAGAGTTGGGTTTTGGCAGGACCTATGACTAAAACAAAGAGTTAAATTAATTAGATATTTCTGTAATGTTATTATTGTGAATCAGAATGTTTGCATAAAAATTTGCGTGACTTATTATCTCTTTTCCCAAAATCTCTTTTATCTCATATGAATATTTCTTTATAAACACGCTGTTTAAAGAAGTATAAAATTGTGGTTATTGGGACACAATACAGTATATAAATAGATTTGCAGTCCTGCTTATTTTAGGGAAATGTTTGAACCCTGCTTATCAGCAAAAAGAAGTCCCTACAATGTTAAACACTGTTATCCACCAATTAACCATAATGGAAAAAAAGACATAATAGAAAAGGACGGCTGCATTTGATGAGCGATAAAGTTGATCTTTAAATATAACTGTTAGACAACATGAACTAGCATCAAATTAACATTAAATTCTTGATTTTCAAAATCATGAGGAGCATGCAATTACTGCAATTGCACATGGAAATGACTATTTATGACCAGTTACACATTTGTGTGTTTCATTAGCTCATTTATGCATGCAGTTGAGGTAATTGTGAATTTAAATTAGACACCCATTTGGCAAACAAATTGGGGGGCAGATTATCTGCTCAGTATCAAGCAACTAAATTCCCTTTAAGGCTCAAGGCCAGTCACTAGGCTACGATAATGTTCATGAAAGAGTTTTGTAGGAAATGAAGAAGGAAGAATTACTTGAAAAATGCTGCTGTGAAAAGCTGTTATATTATGCTATTGTGTGGTTTCCATATATGAGAAAATATGCTGCAGTGCCTTTAGGAACCCTAGACCCTGAAGCTTTATTTCAGCCCTGGGGAAAATAATTAAGTAATTTATGGGAATATTTGGCACAATGTCAGAAAAGAAAAAGAGGAGTAGGCAGAGAAATTTAAATCTTTGAAACAGTTGAAGAAACATCTGTCTGTGACTTCTTAATGCTTAGGTACATCACTAAATACCATTGATCAGGGGCAGGGACAGATTGGAACAAGAGGGTCTTTTTTCATAAATGTAGTTGAAGATAGCATGATAAGTTGTCAGAAAAGGGAGTAAGTACAAGCATCTGTTAATTGAGAAATGTACGTGGAAGGGCTGGCCCAGCCTTTGACAGAAGCAACCAGCTCTGAAAAAAAAGGTAAAACCATAGGGAGTAACAGAATGGTTGTCACAGAGAAAATTTTTTAAACCAATCTATTTAGAACCTAGGCTTTCCAACTCAGTGATATTCAGACACTAGATACAAAACCATGCAGCTGGTAAAGGCTGAAAGGATTTTATTCTTTTTTCTAGATTGAGATGTTTACTCAACTGCCCTGTTTTGCCACTGCCTTCTTAGGTAATCTTGGACCGTTCTTGATTTCTGATAAAGTGAAAACAGAAGCAGTATATGTGCCAGACGTCTCTAACATTTTTAGATGATTTGATGCTTTCAAATAGAAATCTTTTCCTGGATAGTATCCAGTGCCCGGTAGAGACTATTCTCTGCTGAATTCATGAGATCTTAGAAAACCAGGATATTGTCATTACGTATTAAATCTCAACATTTCTCTCCTTGTCATTTCCTTTTTCTTCCTTACACCTTCCTTGCACCTGCACAGTAAATCTTTTGGAAAAGGGGTGATTATGTAAGACAATCCCAATTTGTACACTGTATTCCAGGAGTATGCAACAAATTGCACTGAAGCATGAGCACGTGAATTGAACTTTTCAGATATTTCCTGCTTGGAAAGCAAAATGCTTTGTACTCATGTTCTGTTTCATGATTGACTCTTTTCAAAAAGCACTGCTACGTTAAGATCTTAGACTCAAAGTTCAGTGAAGAGTTTGAAGTCTCAGGTCACCAACAGAAGAGAATAACAAAACAAAAGAACCAGTAACAATAAACAAGAGAAAGAGGGAAAGGGAGTTTGTGAAGATAAAGACATTGATGCATAACTTCTACTTGTGTTCCAAGCTTGGAAACCATGTTTGGCAAACCATGAAGTAAAATAACTAATTTTAAATTCTTTATCTTATCTTCTTCTGGAGCTTTCACAAGGACTTGGAAGCAGTGCTCTCAGCTGGGCTGACACTCTGATGCTGCCATCTAGGGAGGAGACTGCTGCTGGCTGTAATTTGAACAGATCTGTTCTCCATGGCTGTCTGAACTTTGACTTTAGTATGCTTCTTCCTTGACTGTAGTCTTCTCCACCTCTTTTAATTCTAACTTTCTTGTATTTTGTTATCCAATGACATCCTAGAACTTCTCTGCAGTATACACTGATTCTCCGTGAATCTTGTGCTCAGCTCATGTAGCTTCTTCCATTTTCCCATTCACCTGAGAATGACTCTCCTTTCTGATAGTCCTCCTATGTTACGCTCTCTGATGTGGCAGAGCCATTTCTCAGGCAGATGTTGCATTTAGACAAGAAATCTCAAAAGTAAGCTCAGAGGCTTAGTTAGTTATTAGTAAGGATACATATTACTGTTCCAGAATAGCATGTCTTTTCTTTCTCATAAGATCACAGCACCTTTTTAAGAAGCCTGTATCAAAATCCTTCTCTCAGTGGAAGGCATCTTAATGCATATTACATATGATCTCAAACAGACAGTATGCTTCGTACCACTTTGAAGAGCATTGTAGCACAAAAAAAAATTTGAATAGCATTGTATATGACTGTGATTTTCCAGGTTGTATTTTCCTAGAAATCTGATCTTGCATCTTTAAGTGGGAGACCATTTTCCATGCAGGATAAATCCAGCATAAAATCCAGTCTCGAGCATAACCATTCTGATCTGTTAATGGATTGTGATGGGCTCTGAAATATCCCCTGCCTTTGACTGAAGCATACTGGCAGTTCTTTGCCATCTTGCTGGTATTTGTGATATTAAATGAGGTAAAAAGAAAAATTTTAAATCTCTGTAATGTCTTTGGTGGATCTCTTAGGAAATAAAAGTATTTTCTCTAGATCACTGTTTGAATCCTCTAATTACAGATTTTGCAGAATGCAATAAAGTTGCTGTGAAATGTTTAACTTCCTCCAAAACTCCTGAGGAGACTAAATTGGCATTGAAATAGAAATCTACATCTATCTTTGTTGCTATATAGAATGTACACTATCTGACTATCTGAAGAAGAATTTCTGTTCTGTACCTCAGTTCATGAATATAACATTAGGGGATATAACCAAGAGTATCTAAATTACTGAAGACAGTACCAATTTTGACAAAGCTCCCTTGATGTATAGAAGGGTATACTCTACACAAATCAATCTGCCTCTGTACATTCTGTCAATGGCCTTCTATTCTTTACACGGATTGTTCTACAAAAAAACTTTTTTTTCTTTTCTACTATGAAATCAATCACCCTTAAAAAAATCCTTCTAGTGAAATACTATTTCAAGATACAACAGAAATCTTTCAAAAATACATAATTTTGAAGTTTTCTCCAAATTTGGAACATTTTTAGTAATACTGACATGATTTGTGTATGAAAAACCATTTTCTGATAAATTTTAATCCAGGGCAGAATAAAAAGAAATAAGAAAAATGTTTCTGCCAGAAATACCATAACACAATAATCTACGTTTTACTCTAGTGTATTAGAAGAAATAGTTTAGGTATCTTTAACGAGGTACTGTATATTCAGCATAAAAACAAGGTTTTTGAGAAATATGGGCCCTAGATCTCCATGAGTGTGTACTGAAGAGAGCAAAACCTTTGAAATAATATGCACAAGGTTTCAAAGTGAGTTATTTAATGATTTAGATTAGACATTTAAGCAGTAAACTCTAGTGATTTAGCTATGATGAAAAAAGCCTAAATCTTCACTGTTTCAGAAAGCCCTTGACATTTGCTAGTACAGAGACTCTTCTGTACTGCTTTTATTCTAGCATAAGACAGAAAAAAATAAACAGACTTTGGGAAAAAAGCTTACCAGAATGCAGGAAAATCATGTATGAAGATATGTATATTGTTATTAGACATATTACTATGTTTTTTCATTATTATTATTATTAATAATAATTCAATTGACAATATTAAATTATGCATTTTAAAATAGATGTTCATCAAAATCTACCCAGTAAAACAAAACCAAATAACTCAGATTATTTTAACTTTTTTTTTTTTTTTTTTTTTTTTTTTTTTTTTTT